TTCATAAAAACATGTCCAAAATATTTTGAATGAGCGCTGAATTATACTCTACTAATTTCAAGTCACAACGGGACTCTTACTTATGAGAAGCGGGCGCGTCGTGGCAAAATCACGCAGGCAACTGTGACTAGTAGAGCTTTTCTCAGTTAAATTTAGCATGACTTAAGTTATTTACTATTAAAAGAAAATCATTAACATTATTAAAAAACAATTTTATTGATACTTAAAATTGCCTCTCCTTATCTCTTTTCAAAGTCTCTTTCGAGTATGTTAATTACTTTTTATGATTTTTGACTTGAATTTTTTTGTGGAAAATGGGAATCCGCCGTGGCATATAAATTTTCTTAAGCTAAAATGATTTACTGATCCCGAAACGTTTTTATATAACGTTTATATACTACGGTAAAAGGTTTCACGTGTCCTTTTGTTGAAGTACATTTCAAGAAGCCGAGTACCTAAATAATGAATTTTTATTAAATAATTTACGTGTGGGCTGGTCTTTGCTATTCTACTTAAAAGACAAAAGGTTAACCTTATTATTTAACAAATAATTCAACCTCTTTGTGTTTTTTTTTTTCTCAAGTCTTTTTTTTCGAAGAACTCTGTACTCTGTCTGTGTTTGTGTTTGGTATGAATCAGAAAGATTGTAATCCTTTGCACAATTATAAAAGAATGGAAAAAACTGATTTTCTATGTGATGTCTGAAATACCTATGTATGATCAAAAACATAATTAAGATGCGCAAGGTCCTCGATTTTCTTACCTTACGTTAAGCACGTTTTGGAAATTCCTCGATGTTGACGGGTATCGATAGGCCTCGCCGGTGGCCTAACATCAGGGTAATTAAAATGTTTTTTTTAATGGGATAGGTCGGCAAACGAGCTTACGGATTACCTGATGGTAAGCAATTAGCGCCACCCATACCGCAACAAAGAAGGAGTAACAAGTGTGTTGCCGACCTTTTGGGGATAACGGATTGGGATATTTTGGGATTTGGTAGGATTAGGCCTCTTGTAACCTGACTCAAAACACCATGCTTTGGTTATTTGTGAAGGCAGTAGTATCCAGACTTACGGTTTTGGTTTACGGTTAAATATTATAATATTTCGAGATCCTTTTATCAAAACAAGATAATATATGTTGTAGCATGCGCACCAAAGCCGAAATAGCAGGGGTGGCGTTCTGCTACTAGGGAAGACAACGATGACGATTATAAAACGATGTTCAAAAACTCCACAGAATGTCAACAGCAAATACAGTGCATACACGTACCTTGGACTGCTACGACACACGTTGAGCCTTCCACCTTCGATGATTCCAAGGGCAGGAACACAGGAATTCCGGGATGCGAGTTTGAGAGTCACGCGCGAGTGAGAAAGATCGCAGTGATTTGTTCAGGATTCGGATAAGAGACGTTGAGCGCGAAAGGAGATGTTCTCACACACGGCTTTTGAAAAGTGAATGTCGTTGCTCCAACTTTTTCGAGTCACGGTACGCACCACAGACTATATAGGGTCTGCGTTTCGCTGTTGCAAACTGATGGAGCATTGAACATCGATTACTTAACTTTGGAGAATTACGTTTAGTTTGTATGATGACGGAACATCCCGCCCACCAAAATGGCTATGGCATTTTCTGGTTAAAGAACGATAAAATTATAACATGAACTAAAACTTTAATAACGGTACGTTAAATTAAAACTAAAATTGAAAGATAAATTAAAGCTATGTCAAGAATTAAATTAAACGATTTTAAGCTATGGGCAGTGGGCATAGCTTCACCAACGGTCGTTGTATTATATGATTATTTGCGGTTTTAACAACTGCGATCCGAACTACCCCATCAGATCCAGGTAAGAGATCTACCACACGAGCAAGAGACCAATGTAATGGCGCACGATTGTCGTCCTTGATTATCACCATCGAACCTACTTGTAATGGTTTGGAATCTCTGGTCCATTTGGCACGTTGCGTTAAAGAGTTAAGATATTCGTTTTTCCATCTGGACCAGAAATTCTGATGAAGCGATTGTAACAGCTGCCACCGGTGAAGCCGATTAGTATTGACTTGTGATAGATCTTCATCAGGGACAGTGGTTAAAGGTTCTAATGTGAGGAAGTGACCTGGGGTCAAAGCTGTTAGATCGTTAGGATCTGAGCTAATCGGGTACAACGGTCGAGAATTCATAACGGCTTCGACTTGAGTGAACAGAGTTGTGAGTTCTTCAAAAGTAAGGACCTGATCACCAACGATACGTAACAAATGAGATTTAGCTGCCTTGATTTGAATTTCCCACACTCCGCCGAAGTGTGGAGCCGAAGGAGGATTGAATTTAAAAGTTATTTTTTCTGCATTAGATGCATGTTGCATCAGAGTCGCTAATTGATTGCTAGCACCTACAAAATTAGTCCCACAATCCGCGTGTACTTCATTACAGCGACCACGTCGCGCCACAAAGCGTCGTAATGCTGCGATAAAACCGTCGGTACTTAAAGTAGAAACAACTTCAAGGTGCACTGCTTTGGTAGCAAGACACACAAACAAACAAAGGTATGCCTTGTCTATCTTAGCACCACGGTGTGGACCTAACTTAATACGAAATGGGCCACCGAAATCAACGCCTACGATGGAGAACGGTTTTGACTTGATTTACGCGATACGCGGGCAGATCGCTCATAAACGGTTGAAGCGGTTGCGGACTAACACGGTAGCATCTAATGCATTTTGATAGGCACTGACGTATGATACGCTTAGCAGAGATAATCCAAAATTGTTGTAAAAGTAGAAAGTGTGTCGTGTTTATACCTGGATGTAGATAATTACGATGTATATAATCTATAATTAAAAACGTTAATGGATGATCCGACGGTAAAAAGGCTGGATGCTTATGTTCGTATTCTAAGCCCGCTCGCGATATTCTACCGCCCACCCTGAGTATTCCTCGACCATCGATGAACGGATTCAGTTTACGAAAATATTTAGGTATGGATTTCTTAGAGTTTAAGTTTAAAATGATTTCAGAGAATGTTGTCTGTTGTACATGTTTGACTAAATGCATTAACGATTTATGTCGCTCAACGTTATTTAAGAACTTGCTTCGATTTGCTGCAGCTGGATTACGACAGTTTGTAATGAAACGACGAACAAACGTAAGTATGTTGACTAATTTTTGTAAAGATGAGAACCGATTTATTAACGTTTCTATGATTGCTTCTGTCTGAGACTTTTGCCAGACTTCGTGGCAAGGTAAATAATGAGACTGTAGATGGTTAAGGTCTGTTTATTACTTTAATTGCTGGTGCTTATATACTAAGAAGATGCGTGAGATTTTCAGATTTAGCTATCCTAACAAACGTGCAACAATTAACATGTATGTCTTATCTCTATCGTATCTAAGTAATGTAGCGACGTGATAGTGCCGCTACATATACTCCCCCCTTTTAAAAATAATTAACATATAAATTGAAAAAAATTAGTATGTACCTAATTATATAATAACTTAACCTTGCTGATAAATTACATCCTATGCGTAATGTAATGTCATTGTTGCTAATTCGAAGGAAATAAAAACTGCTGCCTTTGTTGTGACGGCGGCGGCAGTCGATGAACTATCCACTGCATTTGTGCTGATTGTTTCTTGCTAAATCAGCATAATTAATCGGTGATGGCACATCAATTTGTTCTATCCGTGACAATGCGTCTGCTACAATATTGTCACGTCCTTCTATATGTTGAATGTTGGTACAATATTGTGAAATAAAATCCAGTTGTCGTATTCGCCGTGGCGTATCATTAGATGACGGTTTTTGGGAAAATGCGTAAGTCAAAGGTCGATGATCTGTAAAGATAGTAAATTCTCTTCCTTCGACTAACCTTTGAAAATGTTTGACTGCCATATATATTCCGAGCAACTCTCTGTCGAATGTCGAGTATTTTTGTTGAGTATCACTTAATTTCTTTGAAAAGAATCCTAATGGTTCCCAATTACGTCCTGACTTCTGCTGCAGAACTGCGCCAACACAGGTCGAACTGGCGTCCGTCATAAGTGCCAAAGGGGCGGTGCGAGAGGGGTAAACTGTTAATACTGCGTTCATTATTTTTTCCTTGCATTTATCAAAAGCTTTTTCGGCCTCTGTTGTCCAAGAAATTGGAGAATTATCATTCTTTTTAGAGTCGTGCAGGTAGTCGTTTAAGATAGTTTGATATTCAGCAGCATGAGGGAGATTGTTTCTGTAAAAGTTGATCATTCCTAAAAATCTTCTTAGCTCCTTGATTGTCGTAGGTTTAGGAAATTCCATAATTGCTTTGTACTTTTCCTCCGTTGTATCGTTTTTATGTTATTTCGTAATATCCTCGTATTCATTTAATAGTTGAGTAATGCGTGGATTCGTCTCAATGTTAATAGTGCGGATTGTTTGCTGCGTCGATTTGATCAGGGTTGCGGGCGTTGTCAGCTCAGTTACCCTATCTATGAGTTTTCGACCAGCTATATCGACTAATAGCTTATAATGCTCTAAAAAATCTGCTCCAATAATCGGTTGTGTTACATCGGCGATGACAAAGTTCCATACAAAGTTTCTTCGTAGCCCGAAGTTTAAAGAGAGTGTTTTTTCACCATATGTCTTAATTTTTGTACCATTGGCGGCATAAAGTATACATTGTTCATCTTGTATTAGTGAATGTCTCTGTGGCTTGCTAATAACTGAAATATTTGCTCCCGTGTCAATCAAAAATCTCATACCACTTTTTCGGTCGGTAATAGTGAGGCGGTTGGACGGGTGAATAGCACAGAGTTCCGCCGTTGTCCGTGCTTCAATTAGTTTCCCTGTTTCCTTGAGTTGAGATCCTGTTTCCAATCACAAGGTTGAACACACTTTTGTGCATATTTTTTAAATCTTCCATGGTAAAAACAAAAGTGCCTTCTTTCTCTTGAACTTGACTGTGGTAGGAAATGCCGACGATTGGAATAACTTTGAGTGCTGCGTCGATAGTTTTTTTGACCTTGCTGAATTGCATTTAGTTCCAATTGCATTTCTGCTAACTGTGCTAGTATGCATGACATTGTATCGTCGCCAGATTTGTTTCCGTTTACAGCTGACACCTCTGTACGTGTTAAATTTATTAATATCTTGTCCGCGATCTGGCTCATCTTGTTCACATCTATGTCTTCTGTGACTGCTAGAACCGAAGTCACTGATGGTGGCAGAAGCCTCAACCATAGAAGTTTGATGGTTTCGTCGCTGATATTTCCGTTACTCAGGGTCCGCATCTTGCGCAGAAGATGTGATGGTTTCTGGTCGCCGAGATCCATTTCAGACAATAATTTTTGGAGCTGACGTTGGTCTGATTCCTCATAGCAACTGATTAGGCGTTCTTTGATAGCCTTGTACTTTTCTATTGGCGGTGGGCAAGTAATGAGGTCACTAACCTGTATTATTTCTTCTTTTGGCAGTTTTGCAATGACCGTATAGTACTTGTAATCGTCTCCTTGCTTCTGTGGTGCTACTATGGCTTCTAGTTGCTTAAACCATAATCTGGGTTGGTCCCTCCAAAATACGGGATAAAATGGCGGTTCCGGCTGATATCTCCAAGGCTTCTTGTTGGCTGCTGCTTGATTTGCAGGGTGAATGAGTCATGTTGATTGTTCTTCGTCGGGTCACCAATTTGCCAGACTTCGTGGCAAGGTAAATAATGAGACTGTAGATGGTTAAGGTCTGTTTATTACTTTAATTGCTGGTGCTTATATACTAAGAAGATGCGTGAGATTTTCAGATTTAGCTATCCTAACAAACGTGCAACAATTAACATGTATGTCTTATCTCTATCGTATCTAAGTAATGTAGCGACGTGATAGTGCCGCTACAAGACTCACCATCTGCGCGAAAAGTTAAAGTCACTGTTTTCCGAGCCTCAGCTCGCACGATTGACTCCTCGTCGGTAGTGAGCTGTGCTGGACGATTAGTGGAATTGATCGGCCAATTAGTTTCATCATGTGATAGCCACCAGGGCCCCGCCCACCATAACGAGTTGACTAGAATTTCACTCGGAAATTGACCGCGCGAGCAGATGTCTGCGGGATTATCGCCGGAGGAGACATGATGCCAGCATTCCATGGGTGTTATATCCTGGATATGACTGACGCGATTAGCGACAAAAGTAGCCCAGCGCGAGGAGGGCAAACGTAACCATGATAGAACGATGGTTGAGTCAGACCACAGAAAAACGTTATCGATTTTAATTTGAGAAAGATAGATGTCACGTACGTATTTATATATATCTGAAAGAAGAACCGCAGCGCACAATTCGAGCCGTGGCAGTGATATGCGTTTTAATGGAACCACGCGAGCTTTAGAGCATACGAGGAAAACGTTTACGCGACTAGCCTGGACCACACGCAAATACACTACTGCTCCATATGCGACCTCAGAGCTGTCACAAAAGCCGTGGATTTCGTATGATTTAGCGTCTGGACAGGTCAATTTACGAGGAATTTTGAATTGAGCTAGCTCCGGCAGTTGGTCACGATAAGTGTTCCACGTTCGAATGACGTCATCAGGTGGAGTTTCATCCCAGCCTATGCCAAGAACCCATAGCTTCTGTATCATACATTTCGCTTGGATGGTGATTGGTGAAAGAAAACCCAATGGATCGAAGATTCGAGCGGTTTCGCTTAAAATTGAGCGTTTCGTACAACGCCGGTCGGACGACTCTATAGCGAAGCCAAAAGTATCTGAGGATGGATCCCACTGAAGACCCAATATTTTCAAGGTGGAGGTTTCCGTGTTGTCGAATGACACTGCCCCAGCTAAGCAATCCTTACTAGGAAGATCCGATAGAAGAGGAGGATGATTACTAACCCACTTTCGTAAATGAAATTGACCACGTTTGAATAAAGCGATAATTTGCGATTTGGCCTCTTGAGCAGTTTCTAGTGTTGGAAATCCAGTAGCCAAGTCGTCAATATATACTTGAGTTAGAAGAGCTTGTTTTGCCAGCGGATAAGAGTCTCCTTCGTCTTCTGCGAGTTGTCTCACAGTTCGACACGCGAGGTATGGAGATGACGCCAAACCATACGTGACCGTATTTAAACGATATTCTTTAAGGGGCTCGCTAGGCGAGTTACGCCAGAAAATACGTTGATAATCACGTTGGTCTGAAGACAAGACAATTTGGCGATACATTTGACGGGCATCCGCCATAAAAACGATATTAGGTTCCCTGAACCGTAAAAGTAGTTCCAAAATATTCGGCTGTAATTTTGGACCGATAAGTTGTGTATCATTCAAGGAACGCGAATGGAGATCCTTGGCGGAAGCGTCAAATACAACGCGTAGACGTGTGCTAGTTGAATGGGGGCGTAAGACGCAATGATGGGGGAGGTAGTATTTACCTTGTCCCATGTCCTCAGACGGTACAAGTGACATATGACCGGATTCGAGGTAATCTGACATAAATTCAGAATACTGACTACGTAAATCAGGATCGCGAGATAATCTACGCTCGATAGCGTAAAATCGGCGCAAAGCTACTTCACGAGAGCCTTCAAAAGTAGGTTCCGTATCATTTTTGAAAGGAATCCTTACAATATAACGCCCTGTTTTATCACGTGAATGAGTAGAAATAAAGATTTGTTCACAGAGCGATTCCTCTGGACTCAATGAAGACGAACTCGGCAACGAATCAATTTCCCAAAAACGTTGAACAATTGAATTAAGATCGTTATCACTGCTGGGTATAGCAGATTGTTGAAGTAAAGAAGTCGATGATAAAGATGTCTTACCTAGAAGAAGCCACCCATAAATTGAATTAAATGCGGTAGGTTGATTATATCCTCCTTTAATGCGTTGGTTAAGAATAGATTCAACGAAGACATCTGCAGCCAATAAAAGATCGATGGGTCCAGGTATGTCGAATCCTGGATCGGCCAGCGTCAATGATTTTATATGTGACCACCCCGATGTGTTTAACTGAGCGATAGGTTGGTCGCCACATATTTTCTTGATCACGTGCATGTTTAATTTATAATAAACACGCGTACTCGTGCCTACTGAACAAGTGACATCACCAGAAATGGGTGCCATAGCTTCCCCGAGTCCACTGACTTTAGTATCAACCTTAGCTGGAGTGAATCCTAAACTCTTAACAGCAGATTCGGTAATGAAGTTGCTCTGACTCCCGGTGTCGAACAAGGCACGAAAAGATTGCATCTTGCCTGAAGCGTCCCTAACCTGAACAATAGCAGTAGCCAGCAAGACAGTAGTATTTAAATGAGACTTTGAGATCAAAGCCGAGACTGTTGGATTCGGTTCCTGCGGCTGAGGTCTCTCGCGATGAAGTAACGTGTGGTGTTTACGCTTGCATGTACGGCATGTAAATATTGATTTGCAATCTTTAAGTTGGTGGGATGACTTTAAACAATTATAACACCATTTTTTCTCATGAGCTACGTTGATACGTTCGTCCACCGATTTTTTAAGAAACGTGGGACAAGACGTTATTGAATGAGATTCATTACAATAAGCACATTTATACGGTTGTGTGGTTTGTTTAATATCAAGAGAAGCAGCAAGCACTGTAGAAGCGGGGGTGCGTCGAGATTGAGACGTCACAACTGCGGGCGCAGTCTGGTTCGATTTAAGTTTAGTAGTAGCGGTAAAGTGTGTGCCACGTATTAGAGCTTCTGACTTAGCACGCAAAAATGATTTCACTTGATCAAAGGATGGTATTTCTACATCGGAATATTTTTCTTCAAGACTTTGGCGTACCTCTGGGTCTATTTTAGATAAGATATGGTAAACCAAAACAAAGTCCCAATGTTGGACCGGGAAATCGAGTGTCTTTAAAATACATAAATTCTCTTCTAAAAGATCTAATGAAGTTTGGAATTTATTTGCATCATTATGTTTAAAATCTGTATTTAAAACTTCACGCCAACAAATAAAAGATAAGTTGCGTTTAGATTTGTAACGATTAACTAATGTTTGATATGCATCGTGATAATGGTCTTGAGTCTTAGGGAACGTTTTCACTACCGTTAATGCTTCACCACTAAGGGAAGAAACCAAGTAATGAAACTTTTCAGTGTCCGTAAGTGTAGTAGAATTATGTATTAAAGCGCTAACAGCTAAAACTAGGAAGTACTATTTTTGGTAATCTAATATTAGATGAATAGTTTGCATTTTGCGATTGAGATGAGGGTGGAAATGATTTTGTTAAACTGTGATAAATTGATCCCACCTGATAGTACATATCATCAAAACGTTCTTGCATCTTGTTGTCATAGATTCATAGATTTAATTGAATCGTGCCTAAGTTTGAATACAATTCACAAATCTTTATCTATATTTCATCACAATAGCTCTAAAGTCAACCAGGAGTACTCAGTCTAAACTTCAAGACGAGCTCATTAACACGTAAATGACTTTTGCATATCTGTAGGTAATTAATTGTATACTTACTAAAGTACCGTAAGATCTAAGAAAAGTTTTTCAATAAAATCAATGTAATTACAGAATCCTTTTCAAAGTTCAAACGTTTCTTAAAGATTTCGCACAAACAACACACCACAGTTGGAACAATCGATTTGGAACTCGGTAAGTGGGTGGGGGCTTCTGCAAAGAGCTTCGGTCCGCCTATAAGTTTAATGAGAAAATGGGGCATTACGAAATCCCTCACCTTCGTAAGTGGGCGTAAGTGGAATCGACAAGATGTTGACGACGCAACCATATTTTACTTGACGTCGACAAGCGAGAAAGTCTCAAAGTTTTCCTTCAACGAAACTTTAAAGACGAAGTCGCCTTTTAACCTCTTTACTTAACATAATGGATTCATAAGATGTTTTTTTTTTGTGAGGGGAATATCATCACATGACTACTTTCCACCCAGGGTCAGGCGAGAGTCAGTCAGACTCTTACTGACTAAAAACCACTGTTCTTTCTCCTGCGACTGCGGTTCGTTAGATTGTGAGTGTGCCTTTCCTTCATAAGATGTTTTAATGTTTGTCTTTTGAAACTTACCTTACATAAAATATCCGCTATTAACTAATTCAATTAAAATAAAACGTATTACGTTTAAGTTTAAAGATTCAAAATAAATAAACTAGAAAGAAATAGAACGTTCCATTCTCGCCACGAAATCCATTCAAATGGCAGGAACAGCGGAGACGAAAACAATCAATTCCTGATATCAGATAAAACGTTTACTCCATTTTCAACCCTGATGGTAACGAAAAAAGAAAAAAGTTACAAGCAAACCGCGTCTGCTTTTTCTTTTTAAAATCTCTCTCCTGTGGCACAAGATGTAATTAAAAGGTAAAAAAGGAAAAGCTACGTGAGCAATCAACACTTTGCTTCATTAAAGATGAATGAATGATTTCAAAATGTTTTACAAAAAAATTTAATAGCGGAAGCTTAAGAAAACGCACTGTTGTGAACAATATTTTTCTATAGTTTTCCGTAATATTAATCTTTAAATGGTCTTTAGTTTGTCAATGAATTTAAATTACATTTTTATTTCTTTTTTTACGTAATAAGATTATCTGATGGTAAGCAATCAGCGCCGCCCATAAACACCCGCAATAGACGAGTAACAAACGCGTTGCCGATCTTTTG